AATGTTCGTTAATGTGATATTTCATTTAGGGAACAATAAGAACTGAGCATATTTCCAGTCTGCTGAATAATGGGTGACTTAAACACTTATTTTACTGAGCTATATTTGATGGTAGCTGCATTTCTGATTATTCATCCTCCGAATCCATAGCAGGAGATATTAACTGGATGAAATTAAACAATTTTAATTTGAAGTTCCTTTGATAAGTAGTCATATTATAACAGTCTATGTCATATGTCAAGACAAAGAAAGTGAGATGTGGAAATAATTACCATCACCCGTTATCATTTTGGCAGTTTTGCTTCGATTCGACTTTTCGTAGAATTACTGATCAGATTGGATTGCACGCTAGTGCTAAAGGCAGGAATGCCTTCATGGCTTTTTAAGGTAACCTGGCTCGTATTCATGTTACACGCAGAGAAATCACGAAAATTCCCATGAAACCAGGCCATTCGCTAAGGTCCGCCAGAAGCGAATTACCTATGGTCAGCATTTTCACTGCTCAGATCTGGCGGAGTTAAATACACCAATTATCTGCTTAGACTTTTTAAAGAAAGGGCAATTTTATAGTTTTAGGGGGCGGAATGCAATCAGCCTTTTACATATCAGTTCTAGTTTATGAATGTAAAAAGCTGTTTGTACTCAGATTTTAGTATTTATCAACATTTTCTATACTTTTTCTCGTTTCATTTTACACAGCGCATTACAAATAACCTAAATTTAATAAAATATATATTTATATTTCGAGTTTTGGAAAAAAGGTGGGAAAGAATGTCTAGCAGTAGTGAAAGAGGTTGGCCAAAAAGGTTCAGAGCCCCTGGTTTAAAACTATTACTATTCACTTTCATTTAATTATTTATCTTCCTTTCGGAACACCTACAATTTCTTCTTCAAGTTATTGCTAGGATAGTTTGAATAAAATTAGATTCAGGAGTCTTTTATATAAGAGAAGGTCTTTTATTTTAACCAATATGGCTTCTACGTTTTAGAAGTAAACTCCATTTTTTGTTTTCCAAAATAAGCCAATGATTTTAATAATATAAATCCCATCGCATCATTTGTATTAAATATTTTTCTAAAAATTAGTGATCTTCTAAAAATGCAGATTCGTTTGGAGATTGAAGGAACATGTGCAAAAATTAGAAAATGCATTATGCATAAAATTGTATTAGCAAAATTCCTTATCTCCATGCATTTTATGGAGCATTTAACCGAGGAAATTTTTAAACTTTTCACGTCGCTCCAGAGCCTTATCTAATAAAAGTAAGCAGTGCATTTCCTGTGAAATTACGTCGAAGGGTCCGGTTGTGAGAATTTAGGTAAATGATAGAAAGTTATATATGGAAACTATAAGTAAGGAAACAATTTAATTCGGAAAATTCAATATGACAGGAAAGCTTTCAAAAATGTTTCTTTTCAAAGGAAGTTTAATTGATATTTACTTTCTCCCAACAGAAAAAAAAAATATATATATATAGAAAGAAACGTGTTTTTCTACGAAACATGAAAAGTTTAATTAAATTTTGTAAAATCTGCAGTTTGTATTTGGTAGCCCTTTAAACTTTCCCTATCTGAATAGATAAACGGAGATTAATAAATAAAGCATAAATTTCAAAAATAGTAACTGAATAGATGTAAATGAATTTAGCATATTTACATAGATTCTTTAAATACATAGCTGACATTTGATTATTTATGTTTCATCTTCTTCATAAAGATTTCCTTAAGATAAATACTGAAATAAATTCATCCTTTTTTTTCCATCAAGCTAGCTGTGTAATTAAACTATTTCAAAGCGCAACCATGATATGAGCTTTGCACCGGAAAGCTCTTTGTGATTTTTTTTTTTTAAACGTGGGCTAGTGCTTCGAAAATAGTACAAAAAATAGCAATTAGCATGTGTTGCTTGTAATTTGAAATCTGAAGGAAACTGCTAGCATTCAAAGATTGTATTCGATTGATTACAAACAGATTTTTAAGACGTATATTCCAGATTCGGGCGAAATTCGAGCGAAAGTATTTCAGCGGAGTCAGTTAAATTTAAGAGTAATGGGAATAACTTGTACCTGATTTGTTAAGTTTTCTACCAAACTAAAATATTCATCTGGGCCTTAATTAAACTGAATCTGAGTTCTGTGAATATAATTGGGTCTGTACAGGTTAATCTTATAAATACGGCTACTAGCGATCAAAACGGCTGGCTGCATGGGCGTGTTCGTAGTTTTCCCCATGTATAACGTGGATGCAAGCCAGTTTCTCTCATAAAGTTCTTCGCGAAACCATCCATATACATCCGCAGATAGCCCTTATGCTCTTAAGTAAACCAAACATAACCAATTTTAAAAATAGAACCTTCTCTATTTTTAAAATTAGAGGTGAACTATTACAACAGTTTCTCGAAAAGTTAATAGCAAAAATCGTGTGCTGTTATACAGCGAATGCTGTAAAAAAAAAAAAAAAAAAAAAAAAAAAAAAAAAAAAAAATGTAAAATTAAAGTAACATTAATTTATTATTATGTCATTTTTAAAGTAAAAACACACGCCTTCCTTTTAGCTGAAAATCAGTTTTTCAGTTATAATTTAAATCTAATTTTCAACAGTAATAGTGTAAACTTCTAAAAATAATCAAATGGAAAACTGCAAATCGCTTTTTATAAACGATATATTTTGTAACTATTATAACGAGATAAGACCTTTACTATAAGAAGAAATAGTTTCAAGAGGTCCCTTATAGTTAGTTATACGTACAAAAAACTTAAATTTTGTTTTCGTTAAAATTGGCAAAATATGATAATAATGATCAAATTATATAAAAATCTGCCGTCTTTTTTTAACTAATATTAATAAAGAAATGTTCACAAGAAAATTAATGGCTGTTTTTTACTACTATTTATTCTCACATAGGTTAAAAAAAAATTTGACAAATTAACAACTTTAATTCGAATTCAGCGATCTCTGTCAGATTTATTTTTTTCAAAGCTACAAATGTGTTATGTATCAGAGCACCTAAAGGGCGGTAAAAAGGAATCAAAAATCTTCCCAAAATATTCTTTCATAATTCGAGAACAATTGTGTAAAGCAAAAGCCACCCGGGCAAAAATCATCACATTAAGCTTTGACAAGATTTTAATGAACTCTTTCCTATAGCTTGAGGAAGGTTTTTTTTTTTGGGGGGGGGAGTGCTGGGGACTTAACAATTAAATTTTTAAGCTGAGAATAATTTTAGGCAAAAGGAAACTTTAAAAAAGTTTGTACACTTGAATTTTAAATAACTACTTGAAATGCTTTCAAAAGAATGCGTTTTACAATTAATATCAACAAACTACAATTTATTTATACCGTAATAATAAATTTTTCATAAATGTTTGTCCCATAAAATGTTTTTTTTCAATTGAATATCATTGAAAAATATTTTTTGTAAGGCACTTTTGAAGAATTTAGTTTATTCTATTTGTAAAGAGGATATGAATGCAAAGAGAAAAATACTGATAGCATTTCTCTTCGTAGAGAAAATTCAAAACAAGGCCAGCTGAACAGAAATCTAATGCAAATATTTCTGATTTTTATATTTTGCATGGAAATTTATCGCTAGAATATTAGTTTTATGTGAACAACTTCACAGTGTTTATTCGCATATTCGACATCCATAACGTGATTTAATTTTTTTAATAACGAGCTGCTTCAGTAGGCAGTTTAAAAACACGTTTTCTCCAAACATATGTATTTTGAGCAGCTGGATTTACTTCCCATGAAGTAACTTCTTCCCATTACTATCTTCACTAATTTTAATAAAAACTACTATTAATCATAATCAGATTAAATAACCACTTATTTTATTATGGATTCGAAGTCAACGAGAGATCTACATTTTAATCACATAGATCAATTAAATTCTAGTTTTTCAAAGCTATGCTATGTATTTTTCAAAGTATGCTATTATATAAAAACAAAAATGATTTCTTTATATCAATATTTCTTTATTTTTAGTAATGGCAGCATTCAGCTCAGACTCCATATGATCATTATTTCACGTTTGTCAGCGACAGGAAAAGTAATATCAATGTTATGTTCATACAGTCATTCATTATCACAATCGAATTTCAACATCACAGTTTTACACGAATTTTTTTTTTACGTTTGTTTACGTATGTCAATATTTCGTCTGAAAATAATTTTCTGCTTTCATTGAGAAAGAGATTTCAATAAAAATATCTCGCATGAAAATTTAAACTTTTTCAGCTAATGTAAATTTTTGCCTCTGCAAAATGTTATTTGTTTACTCAGAAGCTTATTTAATTATGTATAGCTAATCTTTTGTTTTCTGACTGCTCAACAAGTACTAGTTTTAAAGCCCAGTTTGATAGCACCCATTTGACATTACTTTAACATCTGCTAGTCCCTTTAAATATCAAATGCTATATAAGTAATCTTCGTATGCACAATTAGTGCACTGACAAACTAAGCCTTACTATAATAAAATACGGTGACAAAGATTATTTATAAGAAATTCTTTAGGAGATAAAAACCGGACAGTGCTTGAAAAAATTCTCCGAAAAAAAAAATGAAATAACATTTCTTACCTGCCTTTTAAGTGAAAATATGGTCAACGTATAAATTCCTTAGATTTTATTAGAGATCAAATATGATTCTTACAAATGCAAACCATGGATTTTCTAGATTAGTTTTCTTTCGTTTATCACAATCATGTAATCACATTAAGTAATATTAGAAGATCAAACAAATCTGAGCATACTGTAGAGAAGGGAAATCCCATAAAACGATTTGTTTTCACTCTTTACGGCTTTTAACGTGACGTTTCATAAATTCATTTTGGTAAAGTGAAAATAAATGGCACATCAAATGTCAGTGAGTCACCGCTAACATTTACTACCAGCGTGTTATGAATGATTCATTCCCTTTGGCTACTAAATAGGCCAGCATCGTCGCCAGCAGTAGAGAAATTCTCCTTCATAATAGCACAAAACACATTTCGCACTCACCTGCCATGGTTCCACAGCTACTTCAGATTTCGGTACAATCCTGATGAGTCCACACTACGCAAAAGAATTAAAATAACGCCAAATATCACAAGGACCACACACACATACAAAGTATTTATATCTGAAATTCCACAACGATCCTACAACTCTCTTCGAATTCGTACACTCTGAAGCCGAAAAAAGTTCGTAACGTCAACAGGTGGCTCTGGCCGTGTCAGGCTGAGTAGAGTTGTACCATTGGCTGCCGAAGTAGAAATACAGGTAAAGTATAAAACGGCGTTTGCTATTGGCCGCGGGGACGCGTAGGTATGCACGCGGTAAACCCTAAGGGGATTCTTGTTGGCGAAGAACTTCAGAGGAGAAGCGGCTCCGGCCGATGGCACGAAGCATTGACTTCGAGTTCTAGATGTGTTTACGTTTCAAATTATGTAGCAATAACTGCGAAATTATTGTTGAATTATTTACTAGAATAAATCTCATACAAAATTAATCGCCTTGGAATAACATTATCATTAAGCTCTCAAAAGATCGAAATTTTGTAGAAAAAGTATCACTTTTGACTTTATAGTTAAATATATAAAAGGCAGCTGCATTCTCTAAACTGCAGTTAAATTTGAGAATATATATATATATACATATATATACTCTTTTTATTAATATATTTACTCTGTGCAAATTCTTAAAGGAATATTAGGTTATATGACCGTGCCAAAGCACACGAGGGCTGTCTGCTTAAGGGTAGAAATGCCTTCCCTTAAGCAGACAGCGGGGAAGGGCGCTTTCTAAGGGAAATTAACTCATATTCACATTACACATACGGAAAGCCACGAAAATCAACCATGCCGTTAAGTCGTTCACCTGGGATCGAACTCGGTTAAACGCCCAGTATTCAGCTGTGTTAAACATTCAGCCATTACTTTGGCTCATGAAAAGTTCAACATAAAGCTAATAATTTTATGTTCAAGACAAATCTCATTTTTCTTGATAATTTTAGTCATCATGTTTTACGATATCTTATTGTGTTTATGATAACAATAGTTTTCTCCAGAAAGGAAATTTTAAGACAGCGCATAAAAATAATTATATTCTGTCTGACAATTCAACAAAATCGGTTTGTTTTGCTTTATTTGATTATGGAAAAGCATGCTAGGGCTATCTGTACAAAGGGAAGGATGTCTTCATGGAAAACTTTCTAAAGGTATGCACGTTACACATGGGGAAAACCAGGAAAACGGCAATGCAGCCTGGAATAAAATCCAGTTCGAAATACCAGCATTTTCATTTATGCATCGCGTATATTTGTTACTCATGTTAATGGATATATTATTATGCTACTGATTCTAAAAATGTAAAAAGATGGCAATAGCTGAATTTGTTAGTACGAAAATTATGTTTAAGTTCTTGATACTTTTCTTTCAAACCCGAAAATTAGTCAAAAGTGTAATCCACGAGTGACCGAACGGATAAGATCACTAAAGACTGCTACTCAGTCCGTGCCTAATATCATTTAGCAAACATAGTTGCATGGACGTTTTCGTAGCATGCCAGTGTCCGTATGTAATGCCAATGCAAGGCAGTTTCTTTTAGAACTGGATTAAATTGGATTATTTGGTTATGGGGAAGTACATTTGTGTGTATCCACCTGAGGAAAGAGGTGCCTTTTTGGAGTACTTTCTGAGGGAAATTGACTCGTATTTATGTAATACAGGGGGGACTATGAACACACTTGAGTAACTAGCCCGTTTATCGATTCGAACCCGGATTAAGCTATTTAGTGTTCAACTGTATTCCCTACTCGGCCACTTGTGAGTCACTTTCTCTTAAAAAAACTCCACGAAGACATTCGGATATACAGGTGTGCAAGCCTATGGCCTAAATAGACTATTACTTGCTCAGTTATGACTCTAATGTGGTAAATGCTTCAAAAAACAGGAGATGAAAGAAGAGTGGAAGCGTTTGTCTCGATGTACTAATGATTCTGAGAGGTACAGGGGTAATATTTCAAACATACAAGCATGAAACAAAGGAAACAATCTGATAAAAGAAGTGTAAAACACAACACTAGTGATAAACGGAGTCAAGGAGTAAAATCAAACTACATACAACACGAGTATGTTCGTGAAAAATTCAAAATATACAACGATTATAGAGTTCTAAATGGAGAATGCGAACCAGTTCCTTTAGAACGCCCTCCACGAAGGCATTTCTTACTTAGGCAGATAAACCTCTCGTGGATTCCAAAAATGAATAAACAAATACGCCACTGTATGATGATTAGAAAAGTTCAGTTGAAATTTATTTGTATAAGAAATATTCCTTTAAAATAAAGTAAAAAACTAAACTCTGATAACTTTGTATTTTAAAGACTTCCTTTGATTTGTTTGGTTTGATTACGGTAAATCACACGGGGACTCGTAAGGAAAGGGATACCTTTGTGAAAGACTTTCTTAAATAAACTGGCTTTGCGCATGACGAAAACGCCCATGCAGCTAGCCCGTTTGCTGGTATTTGAACCAGGTTTCAACAGCCAGTATTAGCATCGTTAACTGCCGTGCCAAAGGCCCTGGATTTGAATCTTGGAGAAGGAATGGATGTTTGTAAATATATAGTGTCCATGTGGCATGGGGACACTCTACATATGCGGCGAGCCAAATGTCCTCTCGAGAGGCTGGTGGTAGGGGAAGAGGGGGGTGAGAGACCCATCCTTACCGGTTGTTCTCCATCAAAACTGGGGGTGGAACAGAGCTAAATCGCACTGTCACCTGTAAGGTGCTCAAGACTGTTGCCAACGACAGGCGTATCTTGCGCTCCTTGCCACGATGAATTTCGTGGGTCTGAGCTGACTATAGGGCTGACTAAGACAAGTGAGCATTAGACAACAGCAACAAGTAGCAGTATTCAGCGATTTTACCGTTTGGCCACTGATGAGTCTTAAGGATCTTCTGCAAGAATTTCTTAAGCACTAGAAAAATTTAGTATATCGAATAATGATAATAATTTACACTTTTTAAAACATCTTTCAAAAGTCGTAAAAACATAACAAAAATTGTAATATATATAAATATTATGAAAGTATGAAATATGCGTAAATATGAAAAAATACGTAATGTTATGGTAATAGTATATTTAAATATTAAAATATGAAATATATGTAAATAGGGAAAAAATATGGCAAAAATATGCAAAATACGAAAATGCATTGCTATCATAAAAATATTGTTACAGAGATCAATTTAATTTCATGAACGGATGGAAATGTTTGTTTATTTGAATGTAACAAAACGTGCAAGGAGACTTTACTAAAGAGAAGGATGCGTTCTCGGAGAACTTTCTAAAGAAAATTGAAAGGGAAATCTACATTACGTAACACATGGGAAAAAACTAATAAAATACAATTGCAGTTTATCTGCACTCCGTGATTTGAAGCCAAGACAATGCAAGCATTGAACGATCTTAAAGCACCCTAAAGAAGTTGTACTGCGTTATATTGATTGAAATTTTTAACTAAAATAGCCGTTTGTATGTTTTCCCTTTGGAAATATCAAATACACTAACATTTCGAGCAAGGCGCAGAATGCTAAATTTAACATTGTTGTCTTTATGCATGACTGAGTAGAGTTTGTTTTGAAGCCTTTCTTTATTATCTGCCAAATCGTCAAATTATGGAAACATTCGTGACTTCAGAATAAGACAGCTGTGCAATTTAGGATTTATGTTTTTCCTTGCTTTCGTTCTTAAAGTAAATAGATTTCAACACATTATGCTAAATCAAAAGGAATTCTGAATACATTTTTTGCTGCTTTTTGACAGTTCTCTGTCCTACCAACTGCAAATTTCGAAGTAACTGTTCTTCATATTTAGGGAAACTAAGTCGTTAATTAAAGAATTGCTTAGTTATGGGTATAGCAGAATTAGTAGATTTTTAAGAAACATATTACCACATCTCGTATAGACTTCATATTATTGGAATTAATGTTATTATTTCGGGTTTGTACATCTTTTCATTTATTATGAGCTGATTGGTTCGCAGCTTTTGTCAAGTCTACCTTATCATGTTCAATGTTCCGTCTTACTTTCTGCGGGAACATGCAAGGACCTGACTCGGAACAGAGAGCTTACTAAAGCTATGTTCAATAACTGTGGGAAGTAGACAGGATACACAAGAAGGGTATACAAAACCCTTTATTTTTCTCTATTTACAATAACTTCCGTACTTCGGAATACAAAGACCCACTACTTGTGGTCTAAACGTAAAAATATAAAAATAAAACTAAACTCTAATTTAACTTTAAATATAATAAACGTGGAAGATTGGCCTTATATTAACAGGAAGCCGTATGTAGTACAGAGAACTGTGAACACTACAATACGTTTAAAGTTATCAAGAGGATTAACCTCTGGCCTGGAAGGCAACCAGCAACTGAGTAAAACTTCTAAGGTAAGCGGCCTGCTTCGACTAACTGCTTCCTCTCCGTCGCTTGGCAAAAAGCCACAACTTAAATACTTGGCGTTCGCCAGACAAACTTTGCATAAATACGTTAACGCCTATAATTCTGGCCGGAAGTAGAAAATAAGAAGTGATAGTAAAGATTTAAAATAAAATAAACGTTAGTAAAACTTAAGATCCTTACAACCTTTCTTTGATCCTTTTCTTCAAAATGCTTATTGATCGCAGAGCAAATGGAGTTAATTGATTTTATAGTGATATACTTAGACAAAATCATTTAATGAGTTCAACAGAGATTTTACAGTTGTTTAGATAGCATTTATTTACGAGGAAAGATATTAAAGCAGGGTTAATTCTGTTGCTGAGGGCTGCAGTAAGAAAACAAAAATGAAGAGAAAAGTTCCATAGCCACTCCCACTTTTATCACTCCCATGTTATGCTTGTCAAATAATGTGCTTACACATTTACTGTATTACCAGCCTTTATCTATTTCTTTGGAGTTCGTAATTAATAAAATAGTCAATTGATGATGCAAGAATTATAAAATAATAAATTTATTGCTTCGTCTTTTTGGTTCGCTGTGAAGCTGTTAATTGAAAAGATAATAAGTCTTCATTTGAAGAACAATTAGAGGCTCTTTTAGGCAAGGGTTAGCAATGGGAAAGTATATGATGTTCTGAAGACTGTTTATTGGTCAAACTAA